AGGTTGGTGTAGGTGGGGCGCTCAATGTCGAGGTTTCTACGACAGATGTCATAGATGGCCTCGTTGTCCACCATGAAGGCACAATCAGAGTGCTCCAGGGTGGTGTGGGTGGTAAGGATGGAGTTGTAGGGCTCAACCACAGCAGTGGAAACCTGGGGGGCAGGGTAGATGGAGAACTCCAGCTTGGACTTCTTTCCGTAATCAACAGAGAGCCTCTCCATCAGCAGGGAGGTGAACCCAGAGCCAGTTCCCCCGCCAAAGCTGTGGAAGACCAAGAAGCCCTGAAGCCCTGTGCACTGGTCGGCCTGTAAGACAAAAGGAAAGATATTGAATTGGCTGGCACACTCAACACCACAACCCTCTCACTGCATCTTAAATGTATCCTATCCATCTATGGTATTTACCAGCTTGCGAATTCTGTCCAAGACGAGGTCAATGATCTCCTTGCCAATGGTGTAGTGGCCACGGGCATAGTTATTGGCAGCATCTTCCTTGCCTGTGATGAGCTGCTCAGGGTGGAAGAGCTGGCGGTAGGTACCAGTGCGAACCTCATCTATAACCGTGGGCTCCAGGTCTACGAACACTGCCCGGGGCACGTGCTTGCCAGCGCCTGTCTCACTGAAGAAGGTGTTGAAGGAGTCGTCTCCTCCCCCAATGGTCTTGTCACTTGGCATCTGGCCATCAGGCTGGATGCCATGTTCCAGGCAGTAGAGTTCCCAGCAGGCATTGCCGATCTGGACACCAGCCTGGCCGACGTGGATGGAGATGCACTCACGCATGGTAGCTACGGGTTAGAAGGCGAGGGTGACAGAGCGGACACCGGGTCCCGGTTACCGTTCCCAACAGCTAAGAGTCGAGGTAAGTAACGCAATGAGCTCACTTCCTTTCTTGTTGATTTGACATCATGAGGCCAAGACTTGTGCAAGTACTGTGCAATCTGTCATAATCTCTGGGAGTTCACATGCGTATTAGTTTTTGGGCATTTAGAATACCCTCTTTCCTTGATGTCCTCCATGCCCTCTGACTCCTATTCTTAAATTTGGAGCAATTTCTGTGATTAAATCAAGCTCATTAAACTGGTGAAAAATGTAAAGTACTCTGATAAAGAGAACAAGGTTTCAATACTGCTGTTGTTTCAGCTATGGATCCTTTCATACTCAAGGGTAATCAGGCAGGTCCAGGGAATGTCACCAAGCTGCCACTGCCAGCAAGTCCTACACAGTCCAAGAGAACCAGTGACCCTTCCTACTGGGTTTTATTGGGTCACCAATCTCCAGAGACAACCGTGCCCATTGGGCCAAGCTGCCCCATACAATTGGCTATTGGAAAAATTAACACACCATTTCCCTCTTTCAGTCTAAAATAAAAAGGAAGGATCTAATCCTAACCATAGTGAAAATTATGTACAATAGAAACATCTATCAAGTAAGTGATACATCTTAGATGTCAAGACTCTAGGTAATAGACAATTTTGTAGAGATTACTCCAATAGCTCTTCTTTCCTGAAAAATCTAGGTTTGTACCTGATATGACTTCAGTTAAAATTCATGAGGATTGTAATTGTAACTATCAAGTCTTAATTCCCATCAAAGACCTGAGAAATAAAATGTGAGCAAGCAACTTCCAAAAACTGCAAGAAATGACCAAAACAGCTGGCTTCATTGACAGTCAGCTAAGGTCTCTCTCCAACATTGGGGTATACAACTTTGGCTATAGGCCAAGAATAACTAACAGACCATTTTAAGAAGCAGAACAATGTGAAGGACTATACGATCCAGTCTTGGCAAAGTTTGGCAGTCACTTTTCTTTGTGCTCTGCTCGTCTGGATTGGACAGTGTACTTACTTTCAGCAGTTGAGACAAGGACAGATTTTTGCCTAATAAATCAGTTTTGCTAAGAGGAAAAAAAACTCCATGTAGAGTGTCTTCATTGCCCTTCATCTTCTTGTGGGTAGATCAGTAGTGCCAGGAGCAGACACGACTCATGTCAAAAGAATTCTAAGTTGTTAAAACATGTGTCATATTCTGTAGTTCATTGAAGTGATTGAAGATCATCTATCTATTTGGATAATGTCTCTGTGCACTTAGAAGACCTAACTAACATAAGGATAAGTTTGACAATACGGATGACTATGAAACTTTAATTCTTATTAACTTTTATAGCTCAAGGACTAAAGACTCACATTATAAAAATAAACAAGCAGTTGAGGTAAAACCTTATGCAAAATTAGAAACAGATGCACAGTATAAGGACAGTAACCTCAAAGTTGAGCCAATATATAAAAATATCTTAACCAAAGGTAGAAATGTATAATGCAATATGACAAAATAGCCTTAATTTGCATCAATATACAAAATATCCTAAACAGAAGCAGAAACATACATGCATTATAGCAAAAGTGATCTTACATATGTATCAATATACAGAAATATCTTAAACAGAAGTAAAAAAACATACAGTACAACAAAACAACTTTGAATTTGTAACAATATGCAAAAATTCATACCAATGTAAATTATTTAAAACTCAGTTGCTTTTTTTGTTTACAAGTACATTTAATAACTTATTATCCTATCATATTTATCATATTTATCCTCCATTTTTCTATTCCAAATAAGATTCCTGTGTCTAATTTCTACTGTTCTGTTCCCAATTTTAGCAACTACAGATGACAATTATCTATAACCCAGAGAAAAACAAAAATCATCCACCCCACCTACTGGAAAAGGGGAAGTCATTTTCTTAGAATTACTTCCTGCTGTATTGGGGACAATGGCATCTCTATGAGATGCTATAAAAAAACAAAACAATGGGTATGTCTTAGAAGAACTAGCTATAACATTTGTAGTCAGTCTCTGAGCAATGGGTAAAGCTTATCTAAAGTTCTGGCTAGAGTGTTGCAAGAGGGTAGACTATCTCAGGTAGCTACCTTGGAATTGTCCTGAGCAGTTTGTTGTCCAAAACTGAATGCAGAATGGCAGTTATCAGTTCAATGGCATTTTTATGACCTAGGTAGAATTGTTGTTGCAGGGTCCCATCATCTCTATGGAAACTTTACAGATTGTTTTTATGAAAACTTATTATTTACTTTAAAAAATTAAAAAATTATTGATATCAAGATGTAAAGTTTAAATTTTTAGATAAAGTTATACCTAATGAAAGGCTCTAAAGAGTCAAAATAAGTATGATTTTCTGATTCCCAAGGGCAACTGGGGAGGTGTAGGGAAGGTAACCAAACCACAACTGCCAGCAAGCCTTCCACAATCCAAGAGAGTTATTGACCCTTTCACCTGGGGTTTTATCAGGTCAAGTATCTCCAGAAAAGACCATGCCCACTGGGCTAAACCAGCCCATACGATTGGCTATCAGACCAAATTCCCACAATATATACTCTTTCTGATTCCCCATTCATAGGGTTGCCTGAGCCATGGAAATTTCTCACACAGAATTGAGTGTCCCAAGGTTTCTCATTTTCTGTATATTGTATATATGTAGGTCTCTGTATTTGTTCCCATCTGCTGCAGGAGGAAGCTTCTATGATGATGGCTGAGTTAGGCAGAGATCTATGAATATAGCAGAATGTCATAAGAAGTCATTTTATTGTTATGTTCCTAGGGCAGAAAAGTTGTGTCTTTGTTCTATCTAGTCTCAGGTTCTTGGCAATACAACAGCATTGGTATGGATTCTGTCTTATGAACTGGACCTTAACTCCAATCAGATATTGGTTGGTTACTCCTCCAAGCTTAGTGCCATTATTGCACAAGCATATCTTTCTGGAAGGGTGCTCTTTAGAATGAAAGGTTTATAGTTGCTTTGGTGTTTATCTTTCTCCTTTGATAACAAGCCGACTAACATCAAGTGTCGTGAACACTATTTAGAAAAAATAAAGGCTCTAGTTAGGAACCAGCTTGACTTCTCCAAGTTCAATGAGTTGTGTAGGTGTTTAATTTGTGGAGAAAGTCCAATAACCTTGGTAACAGCCTTGCTTTGTTTGTTTTTGAATTCAAATGGAGCCCCTTTGGCTAAAAACCCAATTAGATATAACCCAATCACTGGAAACATCATCTAGTGACAAGAGATATCCACTTGGGTGTCTGTCTTCTTCATTATTTGGTAATTCCATTCAGATCACTATAAAATAAATGTATGTTTTAGAAAAGCTTCTACTGAATTAGATTTCCATATGACCCTTCAAATGTCCCTCAATTTTAGCTTTCTCAACCCATATTCCCTCTCACCATTCTGTTCCCTCCCTCCTATTTGCCATTTCATCCTTTGACTCCAGACCCCCTGTTATCAATCCATAAATATTTTTTTCTATTTATTCTTAAAAGTTTAATTTATCCCTATCCGCAGTTCCTTACTCCATACCTAACCTATGTAGTTATTTGGATTGTAGCATGTTTATTGTTGACTTAGCAGCTAAAAATCCCATATAAGGAAATGTGTATCATATTTTCCTTTTATTCTGACTTAGCAGCTAAAAATCCCATATAAGGAAATGTGTATCATATTTTCCTTTTATTCTGAGTTACTTTACTCAAGATAATTTTTCTACATCATTCATATAGCAGTGAATTTCCTGATTTTAACTTTTTAACAGCTGAGTAATTTTATTTTGTTTTATTTTATTTTTTTTTGTTTTTTTTTTGTCGATAATTAATTTATTTTCATGAAAAATTTCAATACAATATATTTTGGTAATTATTTCCTTTCTCCATTCTTTTGCAAATCCTGTCCATCTACCCAATTCCAGAATTCCATAAAAAGTCTGAGTTTTAAGGGTCATTTATGAGGACATATAAGGGTTTGGACGTGAGGCATTCATTTCCACATAGACAGTTAATGCTTTCAAAATCCAAAATTGGCAATACATTTTCTCTCTTAAAAGTTGTTAATATTAAAAATATTAAAATATTAATTAAAAATATTATACAATACACATATTTGATTTTACATATTATAATTCACTTATCAATGTATAGTGATAAAATTCAGGGCTCAAGAGTTGGCTCAGTTGTACAGTGCCTGCCTCCCAGAACTAGTATTGATTCACAACACTTTGCTTGGAAGATGGGTGTTATTGTTTATCCTATATTCCCATCACTGGGGGGGGGGGACATCGTGACTGGAGGTGCTCTAAGTCTTGCCATCCAAAGATACTTTCTGAATATCTGTGCTCCACATTCACTGTGATATCCTTATTCAAAAATAAGATAGAAATCAACAGGTAAATATACACAAATTCAACTCTAGCCTTCAAACACATGTGAATACCATGTATTATGCATGCACAGTATAGCCAATTAACATTTGCAGCCATCTAAACATTGTCTTTACTCTGCATGGAATTCATAATTTGTATTTATTTAGACCTGTGTCATGGATGCCACAGACCCTGATGAACTTCTTGCTGCAAAACCCAAGAGATGAACTCCTGTAGACTTATTTCTTCTCCACAACTTTCCAAATGCACTTCCTACTCTAGGAACTTCCATTCAATTTCCAGCCATGAGAGTGGCTCATTTAAGACTATGAAAGAAAGAAATGATATTTTTCTAAGTGCTTAATTCCTATTTTTAAGTGAGTTTGGTTCTTAAAGTTAAGATCTTTCACATGGTGACAAAGCACTCTATCACAGAGCTACAAGCCTAGCTCAGTGTTTTAAAACATAACTTTTTTCTACAGAAAGCTGAGTGATTTTAATTGTATAAATGGAGCATATTTTCTTTGTTAAGAAGCCAGAAATACACACTGTAAAAAGAGAGCATCTTTAAAAAGGCAGGTAGTCAAAGTTTATGACTTCCTATGGAAGAATGCAAAGAAATACAAACTTATTGTCCTGCACAAAACTCAACTTCAAATGGAT